TGATTAAAAAAAAAGAAAAGAAGATACATATTTTTAATAGTTAAAAACCAGTAGCAACAAAAATGTTCCTTAATGGGTGAATGGTGAAGTAAACTGTGGTACACATATATCATGGAATAGTACTCAGCAGTAGAAAGGAACAAATTAATGATACACACAAGAATTTGGATGGATCTCAAGAGAATTCTGAAAAAAATCCAATTTCAAAATGCTATACATTGTATGATTTCATTTATATAATTTTCTTATGATATCATTTTATAATGCTTTGAGATGTTAAAATTATGGATATAGAAAAGAGATTAGTGGTTGCCAGGAGTTAGAGATGGTGGGGGATGATAGAGATGTGGATGTGGCTGTAAAGAGATATCATGAGGGACATCTTCATGGTGATGGAATAGTTCTGTATCTTATTTTAGGTAGTTGTTACATGAATGTACATATACATTGTACCTTTAAAAATAAATTTGGAAGATTTACACTACCTGATTTGAAGATTTATTATAAAATGACAAGAATTCACACAGTGTGGTATTGATGTAAAAAATAGATGAATAAATCAGTAAAACCACATAAGAGTTCAGAAATTGAACCACACTTATACAGTCAATTCATTTTCAACAAAAGTGTAAAGGCAATACAAGGGGAAAGGTAGTCTTTTAAATAAATGTTGCTGGTACAATTGGATGTCTTTATATAAAAAAATATGCCCAGCCAGCCATTCCATCTCTGTATATTTACCCAAGAGAAATGAAAGAATATGCCTATACCAAGACTTGTACCAAATGTCCATAACAGCTTTATTTGAAATCTCCCCACACTGGAAACAACCCAACCATCTATGATTGGGAAACAACCGAACCAACATGGATAAACAAATGGTATTATTCATACAATGGAATACTACTCTGAAATAAAAAGGGATGAATTATTAATATATGCAACAACATGGATGAATCTCAAAATAATTATCATGATTGAAAGGAGACAGACAAAAATAGTGTACATATTGTATGATTCTATTTATATAAAGTTCTAGAAAATGCAAACTAATATATAGTTTTAATATATGACATAAAGCACACAAGTGGTTGCCTGAAGATTTGGAGAGGTAGGGAAAGACAGGACAGGGGGGTTACAGAGGGGTGAGGGGACACTGTTAGGGGTGATGAAAATATATATATTTTAACTTGGTGATGTTTTCATGGGTATATACTTATGTTAAAATTGATCTAATTGTATACTTTAAATACATGCAGTTTATTGTACATCAACTATAACTCAGTAAATCTTTTGAAATGTGAAAAAAAAAGTGATGCCTAGGTCCCACCTCCAGAAGTTCTGGTTTAATTTGTCTCAGATATGCCCTGGACATGAGGATTTTCTGAAATTTTCAGTTGACTTGAATGTGCAGCAAGGTTTGAGAACCCATGTATTCCCACTTCCACCACACTAATCAAAGCCCCTATCATCTTCATCTTAACCGATAGTGCTTCCTAAAGGACATCCTTCTTACAGTTTTATTTTTTCCAAATCATTCTGAACACCATAGCTACAGTGATAATTCTAAAACACAAATCAGATCCTGTCATCTTGTTTCTTAAAACCCTCCAAGTCTTTCCTACTGCCTTTAGGATAATGTCTCAATTTTCATGAGGATCAGGTATTTATTTCTTGCCAGTTCCCTCTCATCCTGTATTTTCCAGCTCTCCTGAACTTCTTTGAATTATCCAGTGCTCTCTACCTCTGAGCCTTCAACATGCATTCGCCATGCCTAGAACACCTTTTCTTTCATTTATTCAACTCTTACTTATTCTTCATGTCTTAGCCTAAATGTCAGTTCTTCTGGGTGAACTTCCCTGATCATTTCACCAAGTGGTACTCAGTACCTAAGACAGTGCCTCACACACTTGACAAAAAGTCATAGTATCATCTACTTCTCCCTTGGTAAAAATCGTCATACTTTTTTGGAATTATTATATTATCTTCCTTTCCTATTGGACTGTAAAAACTGAGATTGTGTATGTATGGTCCATTTTTGTGTCTCTAGTGGCACATGGTACATGCTCATTCATTCATTCATTGAAGAGATTTTAATTGAGCACCCACTGTGTGCCAGGCACTGTTCTGGCAATGGGTATACAAGTCCAACAAGGATACTGATCCCATGAAGCTTATATTCCAGAGAAGAGAGACACATGATGAAAGAAGGAAGGAAGGAAGGAAGGAAGGAAGGAAGGAAGGAAGGAAGGAAGGAAGGAAGGAAGGAAGGGGTATTTGCTTAATACTTCTAAGAAAGAAAGGGAGAGAAAGAGATGGGTGGGAGAGAAAGAAGCCATGAGCTTCTTATTCCATGTTAAATAAAGTTCTCAATGCCATTTCTTTAAGGAAGTTGACTCTAATACCTATTCTTCCATTTCTTAATGTCCAAATAAAGCTTTTTCAGGGTCAGTCTCACACAGTAGATGATCACTTAAGTAGTATGAGTTTAGGATCCCCAGAAAATTTTTCCCAATGAGAATGTTTGAAATAGTTGCCCTTTCATATGTTTGCTACTAAATTGTCTTTAAAATGTGAAAAACATCTTTAATTCTACACTTAAAAATAATGTTTCACTTTATGCAACTTTTCACAAGCTCGATGCACGTCTTCCCTTTATGGAAGTAAAATAGTAAAATATGGCAAAAAATGATGTTTCAAACACAACTATTGTGCAATAATTATGGATGAATAAAGAATCAATAAAAAAGCTGTTGAACCAGGTGATTCTCTTCAGGGTTGCCACCTATCATACAATGGGTCAGGAGAACTTTCAAAAGTCAAAAAAATTAGATTAAGGAGTAGATATCAATGGGAAAAGAGAATACTTGGAGGCTAGAGTCAGTTATCAGAGATGATCATGGTCCCCTAATTACTCCATCTTCCACTGGGGAACATTTCTGGACCTGGCTTGAGTTTGACATTAATGGAGAGAACCTTTTATTCTTGGGTTTCTCTTCTTGTGGAGCAAGTGTGAGATTGTGGCCTTGTCATTTAGTGGAATAAAGAGGCTATTTATGGAGTCATGAACCTGGATTTAGGATATTAACTATCCCAGTACCTGGGACTTGTGGAGCCCTTGAGATGTTATAGACCTCTGTGTATGTGTAGGGGTGGCGGGATAATGAGAAGCATACTTATGCTGTTGGAATCTGAACTTGTGCACTGTCCCTCCTGCTGAGAAAACTGGAGTCTCCCAGATTCCAGCTAGCTTATTGTCTAGGCAACCTAGTGTGGGCATCTGTGTAATGTTTAGATGAGTCTGCTTTCTGCATTACAAATACTTTCCTTTAGGGTTTTTTTTTTTGGGAGGGTGGAGGAATGAGGCAGTAAGAGCTGGAGCAAGGAGGAAGAAATTAGATAAGAAAGCCCAATAATATGCATTCATAGGATGAAGAAAAAACATGAAGAAGAAAATGAGAGTGTGGGGATACTGACTACAAACTTCATTGTTTTCTATTTTACTTAGGAAATTTCTGCTAAATACTAATGCAGGAAGAGTATATCCACAAGAGAGAATATATGTTCATATTCTAATTTTAAAACCTGGAGACCCTATGTCACATTGTATGCACTCAACAAAGGCTACCTGTCCCTGTTTCTAATAGTGACCCCAAAGCACTAAGTCAATGTGTTCATCTTCTTGAAACATTTCTTTTATTACTTTAATCTATATAGACACATTTTTCAGCCAACGCATCACATGATCATCACTAACTTACAGTGAGAACCCAAGTGCATTGGGAGCCACTGCTTTGGAAATTTACCTTAAAGCATTTCTGTTTTAGAATCACATAGAGTAACTCCCAAATCCCTTACTGAAAGTTAAATCAATATAGACATATATCTATCAATTTGTAAAGAACAGCCTAAGTTTATTAATTAAAACTATCAAACAAAAGATACAAACACTAATTAATTATAAGATGCTATAGCAAATATTTGTAGTCCCAGAAACAACTTAAAAAGTTAATATATATATATGTATATATATATACATATATATAAAATGAAATAAATATAAATATATGTATATGATATATTATGTATTTGGGGAAAAGAAAAATGACTCTGAAGTAATTGAGCACCACTTTTTAGTCCATGTGCTCAGCATTGTATATTTTGTCTTTTAAAATTTTCTCATTTTACTGGTAAGAAAATTTCACATGAGTATGAATGATCTTTAGCTCTTAATTGTCCTATAGATCAATCTTGGCTTTTGCATTTAATGATAATGTCTCTTGGCTGAACCAATGTTGGTTTTGTTTTCAGAGCTGGCTTCTTAGGCCGCCTAAGGAGATGATTTGACTTGCATGTGGTGTTTCTTGCAATGATTTTAAACATTAATTTACAAGGTGATTGAAAAGGTGTTGTGATAAGCAACTGCTTTTAACATGAATGTATGTATGTCTGTGAGCATCTGCTTACCAGAAAGCTTGACTGTTCTTTATCTGATGGGTACTTCTGCTCATGTTTCCTATTTATAACTGCATTCACTCAAGGGAGAGCTACTGGAAATGAGACTTGGTCTATCTCTTTGCTATAATATAAAAGAGAATAATTTTCATTTTCTGACCCTAAAAACTTCCACTTGTCTGTGCAGGAAAAGTGAACACTATCTCAATTAGCTTTACATGGTTTATTCTTGGCAGTGTTAAGGGACAACACAATTGATTTGAGGACAAAAGGCTCATGGCTTTTCTTAACGAATATTGCCGAAATCTGGAAATACGACTTTAACAATGCAGTTCTAAAAAGTAGCTTCATTTAGACAGAAAATAACACTTAATAATCAATATATTGTAGAACCAGGCTGCTGAGACTCAGATACAGCCCAAACCAATAACATTCACATATTAGGCCCTCTGAGGAAGTAGATTACAAATCTGCCTTTGAGAATACAATCTAATGCTCCTTATTTTCCTTCAAAGAAATGTAGTCAAAATATTTTCCCTCTGCAGGTGCTGTGCCAGGCACATACTGTGCAGCCATTGTCAGAAGTGGATGTCACTTCAGCTAACCTCATTTCCTGCCTAGGTCAGTAGTAAATTCCTAGTCCCTTTTTTCCTGATGTTTACCCTTCGTGCCAATGCCCTGTAGTAACCTCACCCTTCATCTTTCAGAGAAAAAACTCAATCCCTTTTATCAATTATTAAGTAGTAACCAATACTGCTGCCCATTGTTTGCCTTCTTGTGACCATCCATTCACCACTCTGGTGACACTGCAATATCTCATTTGCCTGGGACCGTACATCAGGGACCTTCAGAAGGTGATTAATCATTATTCTGAGGCAACAGACCACACACAAAAGCCTGAGGAAGTAAAGATTGAAGGGTTCAAGATGAAGTTCAGTTTCATAAGGCCAGCTCCACATAATTAAATTAATGACTGAGTTCGCTCTCTTTCCCCTTTGTCTGTAAGTTGTCTCAGATTTTAAAGTTAATGTCTATTGAGGCCTAAGTGAGGAACAGCTACTGCTGATAGACCAGAACTTTGAGAAAAATGCTAATAGGAGCTCTCTGATTTAGAGAGATAAGCTACTAGAACATGGCAAAACACACAAATATTCACAGTGGATCATCAACGACTGGACTATCAAGGATTGTTAATATCCTTGGGAAAAATACTTTAAATTTCTAGAATCAATTTGTATTTATCCATGGATTTTTAAAGAAAGATTTTTATTAAAGTATAGCTAACATACAATATTCTATTAGTTTCAGGTGTACATCATAGTTATTCAAAGGTACCCACCTGGCACTATACAGAGTTATTACCACATTATTGATTAGATTCACTATGCTAAAGAAGTGATCACCATGATAAGTCCAGCAATCATCTGACACTGTACCATGCTATCACAATATTATTGACTATATTTTTATGCTGTATATTACACCCTCAAGACTTATTTGTTTTATACATGGAACTTTGAACCTCTTATTCTTTTTTATCTTTTCCCCTTTTAATTTTTCAATTAGAGTTGATATTCAATATTATTTTATATTAGTTTCAGGTGTACAGCATAGTGGTTAGACATTTATGTAATTTAGGAAGTGGTAGCCCTAGCTAGTACCCACCTGGCAAAATCCATAGTTATTACCATATTATTGATTATATTCTCTATACTTTACATCCCCATGACTATTTTGTAACTACCAATTTGTGTTACTTAATACCTTCACCTTTTTAAACCTGCTCCCAAATTCCTTCCCATCTATCACCCTGACAGATCTAATACCAATCTGGTATGTAGCACCATACATAGTTATTACAATATTATTGACTATATTCCTTATGCAATACCCTACATCCCCATGACTACTGTGTAACAACCAATTTGTACTTCTTAATCCCTTCTCCTTTCCACCTATTCCCAACCCCCCTCCCATCTGGCAACCACCAAAATGTTCTCTGTATCTATGAGTCTGTTTCTGTTTCAGTTGTTTGTTTATTTTGTTCTTTAGATTCCACTTATAAGTGAAATCATATGACATTTGTCTTTTACTGTCTGACTTACTACACTCAGCACAATACCCTCTAGGTCCATCCATGTTGTTGCAGATGGCAATATTTTGTTCATTTTCATAGCTGAGTAATATTCCATTGTACATATGCACCACCTCTTCTTTATACATTCATCCATTCAGGGACACCCAGGTTGCCAACATATCATGGCTATTGTAAACAATGCTGCAATGAACATATGGATGAGCACGTCCCCTCAAAGTAGCATTTAGTATTTGTTTGGATAAATGTCCAGAAGTGGGATTACTAGGTCCTTTTTTGTCTCTTGTTATTGTCTTTGTTTTAAAGTCTATAGTTTTTGTCTTGTATAATTATTGCTACCCCAACTTTGGTTTGTTTATTTCCATTTTCATGAAACGTCTTTTTCCATCCCTTTACTTTCAGTCTGTATGTGTCTTTCGGTTTGAAGTGAGTCTCTTGTAGGCAGCATATGTTGCATCTTGTTTTCTTATCCATTCAGCTCCCCTATCTTTTGATTGGAGCATTTAATCCATTTACATGGACAGTAATTGTTGATAAATATGTAGTTATTGTCATTTTATTATTCATAGTTTTGATTTTTTTTCCATCTGAAAGAAGTCCCTCTAACATTTCTTTTAATACTGGTTTGGTGGTGATGAACTCCTTTAGCTTTTTCTTATCTGGGAAGCTATTTACCTGTCCTTCAATTCTAAATGATAACTTCCCTGGGTAGAGTAATCTTGGTTGTAGGTCCTTGCTTTTCATCACATTGAATATTTTGTGCCAATCCCTTTGGCCTCCAAAGTTTCTATTTGAGAAATCAGCTGACAGTCTTATGGGAGCTCCCTTGTAGGTAACTAGCTGCTTTTTTCCTGCTGCTTTTAAGATTCTCTCTTAGTCTATAACCTTCGGCCTTTTAATTATGATGTGTCTTGGTGTTGTCCTCTTTGGGTTCATCTTGTTTGGGACTCTGTGAGCTTCCTGAGCTTTGATACCTATTTCCTTTGCCAGGTTAGGGAAGTTTTTCATCATTATTTCTTCAAGTAGGTTTTCAATTCCTTGATCTCTCTCTTCTCCTTCTGGTACTCCTACATTGCAAATGTTGGTATGCATGATGTTGTCCCAGAAGCCCCTTAAACTCTCCTCAGTTTTTTGGATTCTATTTTCTTTTTGCTTTTCTAATATGGTGTTTTCTGCTACCATATCTTCTAAATCACTGATTTAATCCTCTGCTTCATCTAATCTGCTGTTGATTTCCTGAAATGTATTCTTTATTTCCATTATTGTATTCTTTATTTCTGACTTGTTCTTTTTTTATGTTTTCTATCTCCATTTTATGTTTTCTATTTCTTTGTTGAAGTTCTCCCTGAGATCATTAAGATCATAAGCAGCGTGTGGAACACTGCATCTGGTAGATTACTTGTCTCCATTTTGTTTAGTTCTTTTTCCAAAGTTTTGTTCTTTTCTTTTATTTCGGACATGTTTCTTTGTATCCCTGTTTTGGCTGCCTCCCTGTGTTTGTTTCTATGTATTAGGTAGGGCTGCTATGTCTCCCAGTCTTAGTAGATTGGCCTTATGTAGTAGATGTGCTGTGTGGCTCAATGGCACAGTCTTCCTGGTCACTTGAGCTTCACACTCCAGGTGCATTCCTTCTGTGGGTTGTGTGTGGCCTCCTTTTGTAGTTGAGCCTTAATTGCTATTTGCATGTCAGTGGGAGGTATTGATCCTCAGGCTCATTGGTTATGGACTGGCCTTGAACTACAGTGGAGGAATTGTGGTGCAGGGGCTGACCTTATAGGGCAGGATCTGCCTCATTAGGACTCTGGTGCCTGCCAATCTGCCCTTTGGGTTTGTTGTCTTTGGAGGTGGCTGGGTGATGCTCCAGCTCGTTTCAAAGCTGGCTGCTGGGAGTACAAGGCCCAAGGCCTCCTGGGTGGAGACCTGCTGCAGGTTAAGTTCAGCTACAGCCAGTGTCCCACCCAGGTCCACCTGGCAGGAGCCAACAAGAAATTTGAAGATGACTACCACCTGTGCCATGCTTGGAAGTGCCTTGAGAAGCCAAGCCAGGAACCAAGGCCAGCTTCCCCTAGTGCTGGGCTTAGGGCTACTTAATTAGAGGTACAAGACATGCTCAAGCTGCTTGTCTGGGTTCTGCACACCTTTGAGAGATCCTAGGCAAGTCTGCAGCATGAGCCAAGGCAGGCAGTTTCTACGAAAAAGCCACTTGGAAGTGCCTTGGGTGTGCAAGAAAGTTGGGCGGGGTGGGGTCTCAAATTACCAGGGCGTGGCTAACGATTGGCATTAGAGACTCAGATATGGTGACCACCTGTGTCTGCATGCAGGTAAGGGGCAGGGCTCAACAAGGAAACAATGGCCTCCACCAGCTTCTCTGTCCCTCCAGAAAGCTGCCCCTCCAGTCCTTGTACTGAAGCCAGACAACTCAGGTTCCCACGATATGTCCCTGTCGCCTCTCCACCTGCTGCCCTCGTGCTGGAGTTCAGAGCCAGTGATTCCGTTGGTGGGTAAGTCTGAGCGCGGTCCCTATAGGAGGAGCACCTAGGCATGCAGCCGCCCTCCATCTCACTCAGTCACAACCCTGCTGGTTTTCACAACCGGAAATTATGGGGACTTCTCTCCCTGGCACTGAAACCCTAGCCTGGGGAGGGGCTGGGACCCCTCACTCCTCCAGGGGGACCTCTGCAGCTGAGATAGCCCTCCTGATTTTTAATGATCACAGGCAGGTGTGGGAGCAGCCCATTCTGCCTCCTTGCCCCTCCTACCAGTCTCGAAGTGGCTTCTGCATGTTCTTCATTGTAGGGCTTCAGTTCAGCAAGATTTTGGGTGATTCTCAATGATGGTTGTTTTGTAGTTTAGTTGTAATTTTGATGTGGTCGTGAGAGAAGGTGAGCCCAGCATTTACCTACTGTGCCATCTTGACTGGAAATCTATCCATGGTTGTTTGTGCAGCGAGTTGGCAAGGATTTATTGTGTGTCTATGTGTCCAGTATGTCCAAAGCTTCAAGTTGAAAGGAAATAAAAGGAACAACTCTAGTATTATAAAATAGCAAGTTAACAAGCTACATGGAAATCCACAGATTTTTTTGAAGAAGGTTTCAAGTAGAATTCTCAGCCAAATAATATTTTTCTCAAACTATAGTTTATATATGTAATAATGATAATAATAACTAACACTATTGACAAAAATTAAAGCATTTGGAGGTTTAGTAAGTTGGTCAAGGTCACAAAATGAGCATAGCAAAGAATGTGAAAACAGTCTAGGGTTTTCTAAAGGACTCTAACATTTGCTTTGTCTAGAATCTGGACAAAAAGTTCCCAGGAAATTGGGTTTCTTGCCTCAGTTTCTTGATATGTGAAACAGGATAACTAAGTGATATAATGTACAAGTAGCACTTGATAACATAAATAGCACACAGTAAGTCTGTGTAAGTAGGTGGGCTCTACTGCAGATGAACAGTTTGCTCCAGGCATAGAACAGATTCTGTAGTCCTAGTAACAGAGGATGATCATGCATTGCAGGTTAAATTGAGCAAATCAAAGCTTCCACCTTTAAAAATATAAAAACTGAGCTGAGGAATAGCCTGATTGATATATCTAGGCCAGTGGTTCTCACTTAGAAGTAATGTTGCTCCCCAGGGACATTTAGAGACATTTCTGGTTATCACAATTTGGGGGAGGTGATACTGGCATCTAGTGGGTCAAGGCCGGTGATGTAAGGCACAGGTCAGTGCCTAACACAAGGTATTATCTAGCCTAAAATGTATATAGTGCTAATGTTGAGAAACCCTAATATAAGCTGATGGACATGAATTAGGATATCAATTTTGCTTTTGCTGTAATAGAGCCATTGAGGGTGTCAGATGTAGTAGTGGATTTTCCTTAATATAGATTCATTTGATAGGAAAAAATAAACAGAGCTGGATACCATGTCATGTTTCTCTGATACAGTGTCACCTTAGAAATTTAAAGAAATATAAAAATCTAGAAGTGATTTTAGAGCAGCATTTTAGAAGGATAAAAATGGAAGGATTTTATCAAATAGAGAATTAGTACCCCATAATGAAACATTAATCAATTTTCTAGGCATGAATAGAAGACTATGGAGCCATACTGGCATTTGGGCACTTATAAGAAGACTAAATTTAAAAAAACTGTTTTCACAGATATAGCCCTTGGTCCTTTAAAATTTAAGAGACAAAAAAATGAACTTAACACTCAATGGATTTTATTAGAGTGAGATTTTAATGAAAGGACAAAAATGGGTTTCAATCAGGGAATGGTGGCTATTTTGCATTACGAAGCTTTTACTTACTTATAGAGACACACACACACACGAAGAGACTAAATATAGAGGGAGAGAAGTGTTGTGACCCAAAGAGTAAATACTATAATTTCAATATTTTAGTAAAAGATGACATTTGGGGACATCAGACTGGTGGTGAAAATTAGAGTAGCTAATATTTGTGTATGGCTAAAGATTTTGTAAATTTTATCATTCTGAACAATAAAAAACAGATCAAAAATAAAAAGAGAATTGTAACATGCTTTTGCATAGCATTTTACAATGTACAAAGTACCCTGACATCTCATTTATTTATAGAGTAATGTGGGAAAAAAAACTTATTTTTTCATAATGACTGTTTACTCCCAGGTGTCCAAAATACTTGGCTCCTGGTAATAGAGCTTCATTGAATTACTGAGCAAATGTGTGGATTCTAAGAGCTCAAGTGGCAGTAATTATAGTCTAAAAACATCTAACTCGCTAATGGTAGTGAGAAATAGATAGAAGACATAACCTACCTCTGAAGACAGTCTATCATACCATCAACCTAATGCACTGGGAAATAATAAGTGGATAAATCTAGCTGCTGAAAATCACAAGGAGCCATACAAACCTGGTAAATCACTGATAGAGGCTGTAAACTTGCCAGCAAATCAATTACAATATCTTTGCAATTCCTTTCTGTTTGTAACTAAAATAACAACACTGGGGATTTAAAAAATAAGCAATCATTGATTGCTTAAAATCAGTTCTTGAGGTGGTGAAAGACAACCCAGTCACTATTCATTAGCATGGCCTTCATTATATCATTTAGAACAAGCATTTGTTAAATGGGAAAATGGATTCTCTCTATATAAACATGATAATGCTAACCCATTATCAGTAAGACATACATTTTGAGCTGTTTTCCTAGTAGTTAAGATGAGTTTGTATTAAGTAAGTTATGTATTCTAATCTAGCTTTAAGATACAACAGGACTGAGGACATTATCTATGGTGCAGTTTATCCTTTCATCATACATAATTAATAAATAGGGGGATAAAACTGGCAAATCCCTACATTTCCTTTTAGCAGCTATTGTATGCCTAGGACCAATTGGAAAGGATTCCATTTCTTACTTCTTAGGATCATAGAATCTTAGAGCTAGACAAAGCCTTAAGGATATCTAGTACCAGCTTGTATTTGCAAATGAGAAAGCTAAGATTCAGGGAAGTTGAGACACACCCAAGTACACATAGCTAATGTGGTGGCTTATCAGGGCATAGAATTCAGAGTTTCAAGTTGCCAATTCAGTGATCTTCTCATTATGTCATACTGCCCTAAGGTAATACTTGGTTCTACCACTACCTGTGCAATATACCCACACCCCAAAATCTCATGACAACTTTCCAAGAGCGTTAGTACAGAGATGCTCTGTGAAATTCTTTGAATCATGCTGCAAGAGGTAAGACTTCAAGTTCATGCCAACTGCTTACACCATCCCAGAATCACCAGTTTTTTCATTGCCACCCAATGAAAGAATGCATGGGGAGCTACATGTCAATTTAAACCCATAGTTCAAAACAAACAAACAAACAAACACTAAAAAACCCATCATTCAAATTTGTACATCCCCTCCTGTGTCCTGGGTGTGTTTACTTCCTCAAACTGACTCAAAGCTGTAGACTTGGACAGAAGGCCATCTGCTAATGGCATAACACATGAAGTAATTTCTAAAATTCAGATCTAGAATATCCTTTGCTAATCTTATCTCTAATAATCATATTTGCACAACTTTCTAGTCCAAAAACAATTTTATGTGTATTAAGAATATGCTTATACTACGTAGATTTTGGTATTTTACTATGTAAGAGAAAGATGTGGACATGATTGTAAGGTGAACAAACTGAATTTTAGCAGCCTAAAGGCAACTTAAGAGAAAAGTTACCCAGAGAAACAACACCTTTAATGGTGTCTGAAAGGCATGGCAAACTGAAGTGTGGTTTGGGCAGATACGTGGATGCAGTTGAAAGGAAAGATTACAGGAGAAATGGGGAGGAGAATGAGAAGTGCAAAAGATTGTATCAGTGACCCCAATTCTTCACTTCTACCTGTATCCATCCCCTTTGTCATACAATTTTGCAGTCCTTTCCAACGTAGGTGGGACATAATTCATCACCCCTGGGTTTAGTCATGATGACATGCTTTAGTCAATAGGATTAGCAAATGTGATAGAGTCTTGAAAAGTGCTTGTACAGTTGGGCTCACTCATTCTTGTGCTCTGCATGAGAAGGACATGCCTAATTGAGTCTGCTGTTGCCAGGGCAGATGAAAGACATATGAATCAGAGCTGCTGTAGCTAATGTACCTTAGACGGCCCAGCCTAGAGCAAAGTCCACCCAACACAAGGATGTGTGCGGTATGATAAATAATGATTGGTGTGTACCATTGAGTATTGGGGTGGTTTGCTATGCAACAACATTTGCCTGATATAGAAAGAGTGCTTTCTCATGATTTGGAGTCATCTATCTATTCATAGAAGAATATCAGGAAGTGGCAGAGGATCTTGAAAAACAAACACAGCCCTTCAGATCAGGAAACTCACAAACCCTAAGCAAGTTACTGATGATTTTCCCGGCAAAGAAACTAGATTTGGGAATGAAAAAAGGTGTTCCAGAAAGTGGTGCTGACCTGACTGGAGAGGTTTATGAGTGCCATGATTAGAATAGGGAGTTTCTTTCCTGAAGTCACAGGGATTGCCATAGACAGTGGAGTTATCAGCCTTGGGAAAGCTTGGTTCACAGAAGGTACTGAATGGTTTTGTATGACTAAATGAATGAATCAATCAATGTAGGAAACCAAAATCTAAAAGCAAGATAAGGCTAATGGTTAGTGTAAGCAAAGGATTGGAGCCAGAAGCTATGAATGCCAAAATATGTGCATGTGAGTGGGAGGGTGGGGGGGAGATGGAATGAAAATCAGGCAGCCCCTGTAAAGAATAGACACAAACATGATGAAGGTGTGTAACTAGGAGGGTCGACAAGAAAAGCATTGTTGGTGAGGCTTGTGTGACAGAGTGGCATGAGGGATTGTTTGAGACCTTTTTCTTCCCTAGAGATTATAGAATAGAGATTATAGAATAAAAGAGAGATTATAGCTGAGACCAAACATTATTTAGAACAAAGACGAAATATTTGCAT